AGGTAAGGTTAAATACGTTAAAGTCAGGTAAGGTTAAATACGTTAAAGTCAGGTAAGGTTAAATACGTTAAAGTCAGGTAAGGTTAAATATGTTAAAGACAGTTACCATTAAATATGGTAATGTTAAAAATTAAAGTCAGGTAACGTTAAAGTCGGGTAACATTAAAATATTAAAGTCAGATAATGTTAAAGTCGGGTAACGTTAAAGTCGGTTAACAATAAAGTTGGTTAACATTACACTCAGGTAATGTTAAAATGTTAAAGTTGGTTAACTTTAAAGTCAGGTAACGTTAAAACTTTAAAGTCGGGTAACGTTAAAGTYGGGTAAMGTTAAAGTTGGGTAACGTTAAAACATTAAAGTCAGATAATGTTAAAGTTGGGTAACGTTAAAGTCGGTTAACAATAAAGTTGGTTAACGTTACACTCAAGTAATGTTAAAATGTTAAAGTTGGTTAATTTTAAAGTCGGGTAACGTTAAAGTCGGGTAACGTTAAAGTCAGGTAACGTTAAAGTCGGGTAACGTTAAAAGTCGGATAACGTTAAAGTCGGGTAATGTTAAAGTTGGGTAACGTTAAAACATTAAAGTCAGATAATGTTAAAGTCAGTTAACAATAAAGTTGGTTAACGTTACACTCAGGTAATGTTAAAATGTTAAAGTTGGTTAATTTTAACGTCAGGTAACATTAAAACATTAAAGTCGGGTAACGTTAAAGTCGGATAACGTTAAAACGTTAAACTCGGGTAATGTTAAAATAAAGAAAAATAAAATATTTTAATGTCGGGTAATGATAAAATTGATTAGCGTTACAGTCAGGTAATGTTAAAATGTTAAAGTTGGTTAACGTTAAAATCAGGTAACGTTAAAACATTAAAGTCAGGTAATGTTATAACATTAAAGTTGGGTAACATTGAATATGTTAAAAGTCAGGTAACATTAAATCAGGTAACGTTAAATACGTTAAAGTGCCTGTGACATGCCTATCTTTCAAATACAAAAAGTCAAAGAAAACATTTTATTCTTAAGAAAATTGGCATAAAACACACGATTTTACACATTTTGTCTCATAACTGGCCTATTTTCTTTTGGATTTGGCTCAGGCAAAGTGAAACAGGAAGTGACATCAAAGGGGAACTCTTTAATAAAATAAACTTGCTGGTCTTTGTTTATTAAAACAATATTATTTAAACTTTAACTGTTCTTCATCTCTCTTTGATAGAAACTCAAAATAATCTAAAGAAACATCAGATTCTTCTCCACAGGCTCTGTTGTTAGCTGTTGTAACAATGCTCTATTTACATGCCCTTTGACATCACTTCCTGTTTATTCACATGCAAATATCACAACAACTGTTCATCTCAGTGACATGAAATTTGTTTTGCAATATTTTATCAATGTTCTCTTTCCAAAAATGCATTCATGTATATTACAAAAAACTG